GGTTCAGGGCATATTTGTCCATTTATGAATAAATATGGAGTGGAAACATGTGCACCAAGTTCCTGTGTTGACATCCTGTCGCTAGGCTACATCTTCTTCTTTTTCTTCTTCTTCTACTGTTTAATGGGGACCCGCGGGACCCGGCGGGACCCAATCCCAATGCAGCCCTCTATGTTAGAGTACAAAAGTTACCCGGGCCATGGCCCTCTTGGCCCCCCCGGTTCCACGGTCTATGCAACTGAGGGTGTAAAAATAATAAATTGATGGTAGCCTACTGCATGCTTTTGCACACTTGCAGAACCGTGGAGCTATTCCTCAAACAAATTGGTGAGGTGGAATTCTTTTTTCCTTTCTTTTCTCTCTTCTCTCTGTCCAAAACTGTCATTGAGCCCCACATGACCAGCTGACTTTGCTACGAGTTGATTGGCAGTTGAAACAGGCAACTTGCCTTATGATCTAAAACCAGCCACTGGCGACTGCATGAAAGGCATCTGTCAATAAGTCTCTTCAACGTCTTGAATAGAATCTTGTACAGTAGCCTAACTGTATAGATCTTGTCAATACACAGTACGTTAAGACTTTACTTGTAGACTGAATAATAAGAGATTATAATCACAACTTTACAGGATCTGACAAGTAGCCGAAGTTTTCACATACAGTACAAAGACCCCTCTGTTTAGACGGCAGACAGTCTAGTCAAAAAAAAAAAAAAAATTAAGCGGCCGGCGCAGTTGTTTTTGCTATTTTGGGCAGAGAATAAAAACAATTATTAAAGGGGATGCTGAGCAGTAAGATCCGTTGTGTAATTAAAAGGGATAATGCACATTCAGCTGCACACTACGCTAACATGCAGGGTCCCCTCTGGTTTACACGTATTGAATGTTGTCGGCTCATGTCGGCTGACGGAATGTGCGCGCTGTGAGCTGCCCTTCCCCCTCCAATGCTAGGGATTTAGCATAACTATGCTCTAACCTTTTGTTTGCGTACTGGGTTATTTGGAATGCAGGGAGAGAGAGAGAGAGAAGACATTTCTACACTGAGGGCCGAATTCACAAAGAATGAACTGCGGCCGCTGATAGCACCTTGAATTGCACTTCTCTTGCACCCGCAGTTTGCTCCGTCTTAACGTCCTATTCACAAAGGATATTGCGCTAATGATATACCAGCGCAAACACGCCCACAAAGTTTGGCAGCTGAGTGCAGTTTTCCCCTGTTTTGCCCCTGATTGCAATTAGCCACATGGCATGGCATGGTAAGTGTTTGGCAAAGTACTGAATACTGTATACCCTCATGTAGTGATGTCTGCTGGTGAGTCAGTCTAACAGTGTCAGATGGGTTGAGGCTGTGGATTTGACCAAGTTTGACCACTTTATCACTATTCCCTCTCACTTGTAGCTGTTTTTTCGTTATCTTTTGAATTTAATATGAATTATGGAACCGTTTTTGTTCACGTTTGTTTCCCCCGTTTCGTAAAATAAATTATTGAAAGTTGCTTTTGAAGTGCGTGACAGAAGTGCGTTTTGAGAACGACCGCAGACTGTCACCTGTTCAACGCATCAATATCTTCGGATGCCATTAAAGTAATAATGATTATAATAATAATGTCAAAATATTATTTACAGACTGATTTAACAGACGATCACTGCTGCCACGATCACTGGAAAGTCTGGGCGAGAGGCTTCCACAGAGGAGCGCCCAGTTTGCACCAGCTTTCTAAAGACGTTATTTACTTCACTCAAACTGCGTGTGGCTAATAGCGCTGGTGTTAGTGAATTAGACGTTGTTTATCAATGAGGCTCATTTGCATAGAAAGGGGCAATTTTTGCGCCAAATATATGCATATTACCTCATTTAAATACGTGCAAATAACACCGGAGCACCGAGACGCAATCTGCTTGGCAGCGCAGTTAGTGGAGCATTTCACCCCCTGCGCGTGCTTTGTGAATTAGACGGTATCTGTTTGCTCCATTTTTACCACTTTAGCGGCCGCAAAAGCCACGCAATCCTTTTGTGAATTCGGCCCTGAGTCTTTTTAGGCTATATGGAGTTTTTCGATGATTTTGGGATTTTTCGTTTCATAGCTTTATTAACTTAATTATTCTGATATTGTAAAATAAACACATTTAATTTTTGAAGTGACGTGACGAGAAGTTCTTGAATGTGTGTTGGAGCCAAGTGTCCCTGGCTTTCATGGATAAAAAGCCAACACACTAACATACAGCAGGAATTCACTGAACTATTTTTTATGTTGGCTCTGACTGGGAGAAATCGAGTGTTTGTAGCCTAATGATTCTTTTTGAATTTATTTTATTAATTCCTCCGCCCACCATAGCGGTGGGCAGCGGTACCGATGCAGGTTATATAGTATCCTACAGTAAAGCCTTAAAAATCACGCAAGGTTTTGTGCTGAACACAGCAAGAATGTCCTTATATTCCAGTGAATCAGTCAATTCCCTTTCAAATGAAAGCAGGGACAAAGAGTTCAGTCTATCTGCCAACATTGTTGCCCTGGTGCCTGTTTTTATCTGACTGACAGCTGAAAAGAGTCTCTCCACAGTACATGTGGTCATCGGCAATGTAAGTAGGGCCCGCAGGAGAGTGTTCATGTTGGGGAATATATCACAGGGGCATGCACTGAGCACTTCAACCAGTGAACAAAATGTTTATTTTTTCTCATTTGTGGACTTTCTTTTAAGCTGCTGCACAAACACAGTGTGCTCTGTGTCCTGCACGGGAATGGAAAAGTGCGCGCAGGTGGGCTGGATGAGAGCCTTGTCCCCAAAGGTGTCTGACCGTGGCAAGCAGGCAGCAACGGCTCTCATTAAGTCATATGTGTCGGGCTTGAAACGGGTGTTCAGCTCCATCATCTGCTTGTCCAGCTTAGGTGGGCCTGGGTCAAAATGGGTGGGCCCAGGCCCACCCGGGCCCAATACTAGCGCTGTGGCTGCATAGAGGGTGTGGCATGTAACACCAGGGTGGGGCAACACCAGGGTGACTGACACAAGACAGGTGTGCTGGAAAAACAGGGAGAATACTTTGCAGGATAAAGCAAGAAAACAGGGAAACCACAAGGAAAAGTGAGCAGATGACCCTAAAAAGAACCAAAGAACTGGGCAGGTTAAAATAGAGACACCTGTACCCTTTTTCCACCAAATTAGCTCTGGTTTTTGAACCAGTTCTGTTCATTTCCACCAGTTTTGAGTGCAACCATTGTAATCAAGGACATTTCATTAAAGGGATAGTGCACCCAAAAATAAAAATTCAGCCATTAGCTACTCACCCATATGCCGATGGAGGCCCTGGTGAAGTTTTAGAGTCCTCACATCCCTTGCGGAGATCGGCGGGGGGAGCGGCTAGCACACCTAATGGCTGACAGCGCCCCAGACTAACGTCCAAGAACACAAAATTGAATCCACAAAGTATCTCCATACTGCTCATCCGTAGTGATGCTGCAGCCCCCACATAAAAAGTTTTTCGAAAAACGTCATATGAACTCTGTTTTTAGCCTCACTGTAGCCTGTATCTCTGACTGCTTCTCTGTGCTCCGCGTTCAAGTGTGCGCACTTGCGCGAGACCAGCAAAAGCATGAACTTTGCTCACCCGTGTTTACATCACGTGACACGTGCACCGCAGGGGGAGACAGCAGTAACCACAGAGCTAAAAGATAATTTGCACTACGGTCTTTTAGCAAAGGACAGCCCAACATGTCTGAAGACTTTGAAATTGAGGAGGAACAGCATTTCTTTGTTGAGCCGTATTTGTTTGAGCCCGAGTATACGGATGCGGAACTCAGGCTACTAGACAAAGCAGCCGCAGCAGAATACCGGAGTCGAGGACTGGAAACCTGGTGGTGTAGTTGTTTCAAATGCAAAGCAATGCCAACGGATGAGGAAAGTCTTTGCTGCTCAGACTGGGAATTGGCGATGCCTGCACTTGAGAATCTGGACATCAGTACTGATGAGACTGCTGCTCTTCAGAGACCGTGCATCACCGATCACCCTGAGCGCGCACACGTGAGCGCAGAGCACAGAGAAGAAGTCAGAGATACAGGCTACAGTATCCGCCGCCGATCTCCACAAGGGATGTGAGGACTCTAAAACTTCACCAGGGCCTCCATCGGCATATGGGTGAGCAGATAATGGCTGAATTTTCATTTTTGGGTGCACTATCCCTTTAACGGAGGGTGTTGCAATGCAGAATGGAAATAAACATGAATGAATAACATGAAACAACAAAAAACACACGTGCGCACATGCACGTGCACACGCACGCACGCACGCACACACACACACACACACACACACACACACACACACACACAGGAAAACATTTTGTATGCTCATGTGTCTTTCTCAAAAGGATCATTTAAGTGACACCGCCACACACACCCTGCAGAGGATCGCTGCAACGCCTGATTTGGTGTGGATACATCCTGAGTCTACAATGTTCAGACTCCTTCACTGAGGCTTGGACAATAATGCTTAGACTCACCCGAGTCTAAACCGTAAGTGTTTCAGACTTGTTTTTCCCTCGCATGTCTCACAAAACAGATGCTCTCTCATTTTAATCTGTTCAGCTGTCCGTACTGGCGCTGTGCAGGCTTGCATCTCAGCTGCGTCTCATGGGCGTAACAATGGCCTTAAGTGTTTAGTTACATTTCAAGTGTATTTTTTGATTGATTGATTTTTTTTTTTTACAATATGCCTGATGAAAAGGCGCTGAATAAATATGTTTATGTACATTTTGCAACCTAGATAGAGCACAATGTGCTGTCTCTGAATAGAGGCAGAGAGCAACACACCCTGCTCTGGTATGTACTTCCGTCACTTTTGTGCAGCAGCTGGGAAGCAAGACACAGGAACTTCTTTGGTATGAGTTGAAGTTGCAGCTCCAGTTGAGAGAGGGTGATTCTTTTAGATCCACATTGTAAATGAAAAGCAATTTAGAAATAAAAGCATCATGTCAAGCAGCAAAAAAACAAAAAACAAAAACAACTTTACCTTGCAGGGGTGCATGAGAGCACAGAACTTAGTATGAAGCATTTGAGTGAGGTCATACGAATGTTGGTGAGACGGATGGTTCGGATTGAAGCCAGGACCTCTGCAGTCAGTCGGGGGTTCTGAAACTCGTACAGAAGGACCAGTAGATCCATCAGCTCCTCTGGTGGCTGTGGCTTGCTCAGCTCTAGCATTAAATGAGATAAAAGATTCCCATTATTCAAATTATATTCTGATTAGAATGAAAATGAAATAAGAGTACTTTAAAAGTGCTATCACTCCTGGTATACAACCTTGGGGCACATTTTCACCCTACTTTTAATTTTACATTTGATTTGTCTCAACTCACACTTTTCAGTTATGAGCAAATGAGGGTTTTTTTTGTACAATCCACTGGTAAAAAGTAACTAATTTACTGGACGCTATGGTGAACTCATCCTGAAATTTTTGCAGTGGGCATATAAAAGACTTACTTTATTTCTATACCCATAAGAACACATGAAGCTCCATCTGATAATGTCCAGTATCTGACAAGTTAATGTTAAACAGAAAGGTAACAACACTCTGGGATTCAGAATTTAATATAACTGCTTGGCCTGAATGGACTGGATGTCTAATGTTGTGTACCCACCAAACGCGAATTCGCAAATTCGCGCGTCGAGATTACATACAAAGTCAATGCAAAGACGCGATTAGACGCGAATTCGCGACAGGCGGCGAAACTAAGATGCCTGTGGATATTCTCATTTATCCAGGTCATAGTTATCTCAGGGCAATTCAGGTGAATGCAACTGGAATTAGTTTTGTCTTAGAAGTCGTTTCACCTTTTATCCAAGAGGGAGGCTTCATCAGTTCATGCTTGTCTGACTAGGCTGGAACTAGTCTGACAAACTGGTGTGGAAACCCAGGTATTTAACCTCTGAGGAGGCCTTCACAAGACCACTGATGTCATTGGTTTGTTAGTGCTCCAAGGTGTGTCAATGACATCGTTGAAACTCCTGCTGCAACGGTGGTCGTTGAAACTTGGTCGTTAAAAGAAGCCATTTATAGTCGGGTTTCCATCCACCTATTTTTATTCGCATTTTCAACAATTGCAAAAAAAAGACTTGAATGGAAACGCCAGAAATTCGAAAAAAGGCCGAAATATCGCAAAAAAGTTTTTACGCTTGGAGGGGGTGGAAAAGTCAGCGTATCGATATTAGGAAAATGCGACTTTTGACAATGGAAACAGATTTAGCGAATAAACAATGACGTAGGCTACCGAATCCTACTTCTACGTCACACACACACCTGTGTGAACTTAGAGAGAGGTAATTACTCCAGTGTCAGGTGAGTGTAGGCTATTTCACAACTTACCTGAATAAACTGGATGTGTTGAATACCGCTGCATCATGTGTGCTGCCTGGTGTACAAACACAGATATCATGGCATTATGTAGGCTGCGCTGACAGCGCTGATATGAGTGTGATGAGAGCTCTCGCAATAGCCATCTCGTCGTAGTCATGGATGTGTCGGTAATTGTTTAACATCAGTTGTGGACATGAGACGCTCTCAATGACGTCATCTCACGGCGCCCTCTTCTTCTACGGCTGTTCTTTTGCATTTTATTTTCATGAGAAGCGCCACCTTCTGCTCAACCTATTGACTTCCAATACTCGCAAAACAATAATGAATGGAAACGTGCATAAATTTGCATTTTCTTTTGCGCATTTTCACAAAATTTGCGATACATTTGGATGGAAACCCAGCTTATGTGAAACTGGAAAAAACATCTCTCAACAGAGGAGATCTCCAACACCACCTATCCCCCACCTATAATGCCCATCCTTGCCCAGGAGATTTAACAGCTTAACCTCTACAAACAATGGTTGTTCACAAATGGCCTCCTGTGACTCCAACGACTCCAATGACCACCGTTGCAGCAGGAGTTTCAACGACCGTCACTGACACACCTTGGAGCACTAACAAACCAATGACATCAGTGGCCTTAAATACCTGGGTTTCCACACCAGTTTGTCAGACTAGTTCCAGCCTAGTCAGATAAGCATGAACTGATTAAGCCTTTTGGATAAGAGGTGAAATGTCATCTAAGACAAAACTAAGTCCAGTTGTGTTCGATTCAATTGCATTGAGATTTTAAACTAAGGTGAGTTCAACTTCTTTAAACATGAAAACAAGGTACTGTCTAGGCAAAACTGAAAAGAACATATACGATACCTCTGACAAGGTACTTCCGAAGGGCATTTGTGATCTGGGCCACAGTGGTGCTCTTAATGCTGCAGCCAAGTTGCTGGAGAAGCACACGGTTACCATAATGCAGCAGTCCACCCATAAAGATGGGATAGAGCTCAAATGGCTGGCCTTCACTGTACTGCTGTGGCTGCGGGCCATGGACTCCTAGAAGGCTTTGCTCCACCTGATCCAGGACATCTTCATTGTAACTATCCTCGGTGCGGAACATCTCAGCTGCCATCGTTTTGGCAATGCTGCCTTTATTGTGACCGCTGATTTTCTCATACAGTTTTGGAAAAAGCTTAAGGAGGTTGAATATGGCAAATACTCTGAGGGGGATGAACTTAGAAAGGATGTTGACAAGGGCACTGACATCCTCACTTGCCTGACCAATTGCCACAGACACCTGCCTACTCAGCTTCTCCAGAGCTGATTTATTCTCTCCTAGAACAACATAGAGGGCTGCCAGATACTCCTGCATGGCTGGGACAGCAAATACATACCGTCTCTCATCATTCTGACTGGGCTCTTTGGATAAATGCTTGACATTTTGTACACAGGGAGCCAAGAAGAAGTCTAGCACGTCAGTCCGGAACATGGCCAGCTGATGTAGCTCCTCATCTGTCTTGGTCTTTCCTCCTATCCACTGCTCCAGTTCCTTTTCTGAGAACGACGTGCGTTTGTATGTTACACCGTCGAACGCAAGTTTCCCAACTGTACGGACTACATATAACATCAGAGAACTCTGGTGCTCCTGACTGGGTACATTTGTCCCTGTCCTTGTGCCCAGCACCTCACCACCAAAGTTGAGTCTGAGGAAACTAGTGTATATGCCAGTCAGTGTGCGGATGGGTGCTTTAGCATCTGTGAAATGGAGGAAGTGTAAGGTGGCACACGTGAGCCAGCAGTAGGAGGGGAGGAAGCAAGCTGTAGCCAGCTGGCTTTCTCTCTGAAGATTGAGGTAGAGCAGCTCTATAAGAGCCTGGGCCTCATGGTTACGTGAAATCTCCCCACTCTGCTGCAGTAGGCGGCTGGTGAAGTAGGCCCGCTGGCGGTCTGGATCATTGAAGCCACAAATCTGTGCATAGCGACTCACATACTTCTGAGGAATAAGGTCCAGGGCAGACAGTCTGGTGGTAACCAAGATGCTGGCCTGGGAAACATACAGCAGCCAACTTCCATAACCATGAATCACACACATTAAAAATAACACACTTTAGAGAAAAAAAGGATTACAAAATGTGAATGTTTTTGATTACTTTTGCAAACCCCTAGGCTTGTTACACCTTAGTTATGTTCATTGATTTTGATTAGACAGAAACACAGTATCTCTCTGAAGAACAGAGTCCAGTCCCTCATAAATGCAAGGTAAAGAGATGGGGAAATATGACCTATACTATAATGGCTTACATGGTAAATTGTTCATATTGCACATTTCCACAGCTCTAATTCTATTGGCACAATATGTCAGTCATGTCATACTCAACAATCTGCTATAAACACTTTCTCTTTTTAACCAAAGTTCTGCTTTCACTCATTAATTAATTACTTTGTTAAGTAGGTGTCAATGAAACTCAGCACTTCCTGCAGTTGTTCCACATTATCTTTTACTTTTTTGCTTTTAATTTCCTTCAACCACCTGTAAGGCTTTAAATTATGGCCAAGTACTGATCCTGTGTAGGATACACAGAAAGGCAAGGAAGAAAAACAAGGAAGGAAATATTAAAAAGCCTTTATTGTAGTAGCTAAATTGTTAAAAGAGCCAACGTGTTTCGACCACTGCAGGTCTTCGTCAGGGCTTTCAATACATACAACATAGGTATGGCCACACGTTTATAGTGGCAGGAACCAATCAGAGGCCATCACATGACCCATATTTTGGTATGGCAAGTGAATTAAATATATAATAATGAAAAAACAAGTTAATAAAATACAGTGTCATGAGATAAGATACCCAGAAAAAATACATTTAAATACATAAACACCTATCCTAACCCACAGACTGTAAGAAAGAAATGGCAAAGCTTGTGGAGAATAATGACAAATCACAAAAAACATGTGACGTCTATATCCTCATCGAGACCAGGATACTTTAAAGCATCCAGTTGATGGATCCAAAAATCTTCCCTTTGATTAAGTTTCTGTATTCTGTCAGATTAAAGATAAGGAATCATCTGTATTATGACGTGTTTTAATGGCATATTTATGCTCAGCAAGGCGATCCCTCAAGTGTCTTTTTGTACAGCCTATATAGAACAAGCCTTCCACACATGGGCACGTCAGACAGTAAATAATAAAAGTGGTGTTGCTATTAATAAAATAATTTTGTTTATAAGTGCTGTTTGTGTTAACATCCACAAAATGTTTAGTTTGCATAATGTTGTCACAGTGAGGCCAATGCATACATTTAAAAGTGCTAAAAGGTTCTCTTTCACAATATTCGTTTCAATGTCTCACTATGGGATGCACACCAGGTAGTGCTGCCTACTTTAAATAGCTGCTGCAGATGACACAGTCTCATTCAAACACCTCTTCTCACTCGGAGCATATCTCGCGTCAGGAGCTAGCTAGCTTAACCGTCCACAGATGGATCTTATTTAACTTCCGTCGCTGGGCGCTAGCTAACGTTAGCTTGGATTTGCTTCTTTTTCGATCACACCAGATCGGATTTGGTGTTTTCCTCGCCCTCCACGGCTTGGTAATCTTTTCTCGACTCCTCAAAACGGTAGCTTGAGCTTCGTCGAGCGTTAGCATTCCAGCTAATCCCTCGACGTCTTCACAGTTAGCACACCAGCTAGCTGCCTCGACTCCCTGCCAGCACACTAGCTCGCGAGGAATGGAGGCCAAAACTCCACACACCAGAGGTGCCGGAGACTCCGGGGCCCGTCCCTGTGGAAACAAGATTTCGAGCAAAGACACACATCAGGTCTGCTCGAGCTGCTTAGGGCTGGAACATGCCCGGCTAGCTATCGATGTTCCTGGCTCGTGTCAACACTGTGCTGTGTTCACCATCAAAAGTCTCTGCAGACGGCTAGCCTGCCAAGCTAGCTTGTCTGGACGTGACCCCTACCTTCCCACCGAACACCCGGTGCCGCCTACCTTAAACAGAGGAGAGGGAAGGAGAGGGAAGCCACTGCGGAGGTGATACCAGCAGCTAGTGCCAGCTGGGGCTCACAGCTGGACCTGGCTCCGGTTCCCCCGCCAGAGGAGGACGTCCTAGAATTGGACTACGGAGAAGATGAAGGTGAGGCCTCGGATATCCTCATATCAGAGGATGAAGAGGACGACGACATCTTCATCACCCCAGCCCGGGCTGCGCAGCCCGGGACCTCCGCTGCCTTTTTGGGATGGAGATGAGAGCAGCACACCGGCTTCTCCTCTCCCCAGTTCGGACATGCTCAACGTGTGTAGACGCGCTACAGACCGACTGGCCATCCCGTGGCCTGCTGTCGTAACGGAGACCACCAGATCCCGCTACGAGGGGAAGAAGTTGCCCTTGGCTAAGAGTGCTACAAAACAAATCCTCCCCATCTTCCCGGAGCTGCTTGATGAGGTTGCGCAGTCATAGAAAGCCCTTACAGCAGCAGGTGCCCGATACCCGGTGCCTCGTCCCTCAACTGTGAAGCGATGGAGAGCCAGGGTCTGCTCCGTATGTCTCCAATGGAGCCACTCATTGCCACCCACCTTCACCCCCGGCTGTCAACGCTGTCCTCCAGGAGCCCTGCACTGCCGTCTAAGTCTGACCAGTTTCAGTCTGCCTTAACCGAGAAGGCTTATAAAGCGGTACCGCTCTCAGCCAGAGCGCTTAATGTCCTCTCCATGCTCACGGCATACCAGGCGGAGATATGCGAGGATTTTGCGCGGACACAGGACCCAGCTACGTGGTAGAAGATACCGGTTATCACCGACTTGTGTCTCCGTATCCAACGCTGCGCGGTCCAGGCCACAGGAAGAGCATTGGGAACAATGGTCCTACAGGAACGGGCACAGTGGCTAAACCTCACCAACCTGTCAGACAGAGAGATGGATGACATCCTGGATATGCCTATTGTCCCGAAGGGTATCTTCGGCTCTGCGCTAGCTTCTATGCAGCGACTATGTGAAGCCAAGAAGAAGGAAGACGAGGCTCTCCAGCTTTGCCTCCCTCGGAAGGCTCCAGTTCCCTCTCCACCTGAACAGCATAAAACCTTCACACAGGCTGATGCATCCAGGCCAAGGGCAGAGGGTGCAGCTAATAAAGAAAGCCAAAATAGAAATAATAAACAAAATAAACAGTGCGATCGCTTTCCACGGGGTATGTTACGAGTACCGCGTACTCCCCTTCGGCTTGTCTGAGCCGAAGGGTGTTCGTACGGTGCACGGAAGCGGCAATAGCCCCGCTGAGGTGGCAGGGCATCCGCCTGGCCACTTACCTGGATGATTGGCTGCTGTTAGCGCAATCGGAGCAGGGAGCCAGGACGCACACCCATACTCTCATACGACACCTGTCCGACTTGGGTTTCGTGATAAATGCGGAAAAGAGCATGCTATCTCCGGCACAGAGCGTAATCTTTCTGGGATTGTTGCTGGACTCGGTGTCTTTCACAGCTCGCCTCTCGGCGGAGAGAGTAAAGACCTTCAGGGCGTGCCTCACGCTTTTTCGTCTACGCAGATCTGTTGAATTCAGATTATGTCTTTGATTACTCGGGCTGATGGCGTCTGCCATTCTCGTAGTCCGTCTTGGCCGCCTCCACATGAGGGAATTCCAGTATTGGGTGGCTTCCCTTAGGCTGGACCCCGTGCGTCAGAGTGCCGGTCACAATGGAGTGCGTCAGAGCGCTGTGTCACTGGCGAACCACGTCTTTCCTGACCCAGGGGAGGCCCACGGGCTCCGTCCTGTCCAGGAAAGTGGTCACTACAGACGGAAGTCTGTCGGGCTGGGGCGGAATACATGAGGGCCAGTCTGTGAGAGGACGTTGGAGTGCTGGTCTCCAACGGTCTCACATAAATTTTCTGGAGCTCTCTGCGGTGTTTCTCTCCCTAAAACACTTCCTCCCGTCTCTCGCTGGTCATCATGTCTTGGTGAGGATGGACAATACGACAACAGTGGCGTATATCAATCATCGGCGGGGGGTTACGTTCCCGTCAATTACACATGGTGGCACGCAAACTGATCCTCTGGAGCAGCGAACGTCTCCTCTCCCTGAGAGCGACGCACATCCCGGGGACCCTGAACACGGGTGCGGACCTGCTGTCCAGGGGCGCGCCAGTATACGGGGAGTGGACTCTGCACCCGGAGATCGTGGGGCAGATATGGGCGCACTACGGTCGGGCTGCGGTGGATCTGTTCGCGTCGAGGGGAAATGTGCAGTGCACACTGTTCTTCTCCCTGCACAGCACGGATGCCCCCCTGGGCGTAGATGCATTAGTGCATTCCTGGCTGCACGGGCTTCTTTACACGTTCCCTCCACTGGCTCTAATACCCCCCACTCTGTCCAGAGTGAGGGAACATGGCCACACACTGATTCTAATAGCTCCACACCGGCCTGCAATGCATTGGCTAGCGGAGATTTATCAGTTGCTGCGCGCTCTGCCTTGGCAACTCCCGCCGCGCAGGGACCTGCTGTCGCAGGGAGGGGGGACGGTGTTTCACCTACACCCGGAGCGACTCGCGCTGTGGGCCTGGCCCGTGAGTGGCTCGATCTGACTGCTGTGGGGCTTCCACAGAGAGTGATTGCCACTATCCAAAACGCTAGAGCCTCCTCCACTAGGTCTCTGTATGGCTGTAAGTGGAGAGTGTTCGAGGAATGGTGTCACAAAGAGGGACACATTTCTTTTCAGTGTCCCGGTGGGAGTGATATTGTCATTTTTGCAGGACCTGATTGACAAGCGAAAAGCCTTTTCCACGATTAAAGTGTATTTGGCAGCCATCGCCGCCTGTCATGTAGGGTTTGGGGGACAAACAGCGAGCCAACACCCGCTGGTTTGCCGTTTTATGAAGGGAGCGTGCAGGTTTCTCCCTGTCTCCCGACCGCTAGTGTCTCCGTGGGATTTGGCTGTGGTTCTGGAGGGGCTGAAGGGCCCCCCCATTCGAACCACTGGAGGAAGCGGACCTGAAACACCTGTCCTTCAAGACAGCGTTGTTACTGGCTCTGGCTTCGGCTAAATGAGTTA